CTGTGGTCCCAGCTACTTGGGAGGCTGGGGCAGGAGACTCGCTTGAGCCCAGGAGTTGGAGGTTGCTGTGAGCTGTGATGCCACGACATTCTACCCAGGGGGACAGCTTGAGGTTCTGTCTCAAAAAATAAAATAAAATACCAAGAACCTTTACCTCAGATGTAAAAATAGACAAAATGAAAATGGTATAGAAAGACTGGCCCTTAGTTCTTCCTGGGTGAGATGTTTACCGTTTGTAGTGATATACATTATTTCAGCAAGAAAGAATGAGTGTCCAAGTGAAGTCATTGCTCTGAGCTCTGTCATAAAGTATGTCACAGCAAGACTTATTACAGTTAGCTATTATGCTCACCAAACAGCCTTGTTGAGGCGGTAAAATGATTGAGCATAATCTTTAACTGCAGAAACACTCAGGCTTTAAAGGATCCAGGAGTATGTGGGCAACCTTAACAAAACACAAAGGATTCCAAAAGTTGGTGTGAGCAAGATACCAAAAGTTCGAAAAGCATTACTAATCAGTATTAAGAAACTTAAAAGATACAGGGCCTATGTAGATCATTCTGTTTAACATCTCATTTTAGTTAGGTAAGTGCACAAAAAGAAAGGATTTTAAAGATCATAGAACTTAGCTACATAGGATTCTTGTGAATTGTATAATCTTTGAGAAAGGACCCATCTGTTTTACTCTCTAAGTCAAACCTCTACACAATCCTTAGCACAAAGTGCTTGGCAAATATTTATTGAGATAAAATAAATGGACTAATCCAGGAAGAAAAGTGAAGGGTAGAGTTTGTACCTAGCTCAATGCCAGTGAAAAGTAAAAGAATTTTAACACAGAAATAAAAGACTATTAACCATTAGCCAGGTTTTTTCCTACATAGGTAAAACTATCTCAAGTGTGGCCACGGAACCTCTTTGGAAAGCAAGCTGTAATAGTTCTTTGGTTTTGTGCTTCACCCTTCTAGTTGAACACTGTAATTTTCAGACACAAATCAAGCCTTAAAAGGTAACAACCACAATACTTAGATTTCCTGGTCTTACCTAGTCTAAGAAAGTCTTCTTACTCAAGTGCTAGTTCAACAAAACGAAAGCAGGGTGTGATGGCTCACAACACCTGTAATCTCGCACTTGGGAGGGTGGCTCCCTGAACTGATAGGTTCCAGACTAGATTGAGCCAGAGAGAGACCTTATCTCTAAAAATAGCCGGGCCTTGTGGCGGGTGCCTGTAGTCCCATCTACTTGGGAGGCTGAAGCAAAATAATGGCGAGGAGTTTGAGGTTGCTGTAAGCTAAGATGCAATGCCACCCTACCAAGGGTGACAAACTGAGACTCTGTCTCAAAAAAATAATGAGATAGGACCAAGAATAGTAACTGTATTAATCTAAAAATTCAGACACACAAAACACATAACTTTTTATTTATTCTTTGAGACACAGTCTTACTTTGTTGCCCTTGGTAGAGTGCTGCAGAATACACAAACTCTTAAGTGTTTTAATTGTCTGATAGGATATGAAAGCCTCAGAAAAATAAGCCTCTTTCCATAGGTCTTAATCCTCAGCCTCTAGGGTAAAGACAATCCCTGGTAGCCTAATAGGTATTTGCTACCCATGCACACATTAAGAATGTCCAACTAATATGGTCTGTAAAGTAAAGTAGGCCTATTATCTTCTCACTAAAGAATTTCACGGGCTTGGCGCCTATAGCTCAACCAGCTAAGGCGCCAGCCAC